GTGATGTAATGGCAAATTGTTTTCCATACGTTACCAAAGATGAACTTTTTTATGAGCTGGAATCATTCAGTCAAAATGCATTAAGTCAATCACCAATTATCCGACGATATGCAACAAAAACACCTATTTATGATCAAGAGACAGAGACGACAAAAAAAAAATTTTTGCAAAACATCAAAAAAGAGATGAAATCTAATAATGTGGAAATTCTTGGAGATATGATGATAGAAATTCATGAAGTGAATGAAACACTTATCGTTCCATACATTGATCTTCGCGCTTATTCTGCATTACTATTGCCTCTATCTGAAAATGACTCATTTTTTTTGAAAAATATTATGATTCATAGGGGAAACATCGATATCGTTGATACAATTCAATTCAACGATTCCTGGACAAAATTGAATTTTTCAGATCTTTTGAAACCACGAATGTCCGATTTATTCAAAGATTATTGGATAGAATTTAACTTCAAGCCATCAAAGAAATTCAAAGACTTGGCCTTAACATTGGAAGATCCATCAACAACAATAAAAAAAACTTCCAACCAAGGTTTGTTTGGTGTTTTTTTGTTTGATCAAATAATTCATTTCTTAATTCGCTAAATCACAGAGATTAAAAATATTGTGGGTTTCAGCGAATGGGTAGAAGCACCATATGAAAACAATGAAAAAGACCTATCTATAAAAATCGAATCAAATTCAACGGATTGTGATAAATCATTCGTTAATGCCACAATTCAAATTATTTTTTATAATGGAAAAATTTTGGAACAATCACAATTTACTTTTAATAAAAGTGGAAAATCTTGCAACTATGTTAGAGATTTAAAAAAAGAAAAAATTATTGGTCCATTCAAAATTTTCTATAAATTCAAGAATCCTACTCATGATGAAAAGCTGTGTGTTTTATCTGTAGACAAAATATCACCTGATAAAAATGTAAGTGAATTTAAACATGAATTGAAATCTAACTAATCGCTTTTTTAAAAAATATAGTCCGTTTCACCTAATAGCCCAACGTATTTTTGGTTCAATGAAAAATTTGATAATTTATATGATTGTCCAGTGAATTTTGAATTCGATCAAAGGTAATTTGAATATTCGATATTTTTTCATCATTTTGATTTTTTTTCCATAAAAAATTAGCACTAATCGATGTTGGTTACAAACTATTTATCATGATGTACATGTTAATTGTAATTCAACAGTTG